ACAAGATTTTCCTTATTGTCCAGTTCATTCAAGTATTAATCTGTTAAACAAAAGTGAACACATCTTTACAATAACCTAAGTTCGCGATATATTAAAGGTTACCTTACTTGGGCATAAATAGTCGAGGCACATGAATAATTGATCATGCTTCTAACAATAAAACAAGTCATCAATACATTTATAATTTCAATTCATAAGAACTTCATAACTGGCTAAAAACTGACAGAAAGTAACACCATCCTAGACGCTAGCTGTAACACAACAATCGATTAAGTATATTACGTGACCGCCATTATCAGAATGTTGATAAATACAGTATTATTGTGCTAATAAACATGGCAATAATGCGAAAACAGTGAGTTGCCATTGACAGATAGATTTTGTAGCAAACTTAATTACTTTTTTTCACGTATGAACATTGTTTTTGTTGGGCTTTGTTTCTTTGAAAGATTTATAAGCACACAGTAGCAGAGGAGTTGCCTTTATTGATTGAGGCAACAGACTTGCAGCCACTGTTTAACCTTGCGAAATCGTAAGAGGCGACTAAATGGGTTTGAATTATTTGAGATTATTCATTTCTTAGTTCCAGCAGATAAAGTGGTTTTGACACTTGATGTTGCTTTAAGTTGTAACATCCCCTCCATATGACCTAAAATGTGTTTGTGAACAGTAAAATAAAAAAGATTAAGCAAGCTGTATAATTTGAATATTTTGTAATGCATTCAATTATGATAATTAAAGTAAGTAGCATTTTGAGTTAATTTAACTAACTTATCTTTTTTGCCGATGCTGTTACTGCTCCTTAGAAAGAAACTAAAAAGAAACACAACCAAATATCAGCGGTGAAACAAAACACAAGTTTCTTGTATAATCGATTTTCACTGTTTTTTTCTCATTTTCTATGTTTAAATTGTTGTTGGAAAATAATATTATGGCCAGACGCTATTTCATCAAGAAAAAAAAAAAACAGCACAAAAGCAAGTTAAGAATTCTGGAGAAATTTTATAATGATTTATTATAGTTTGGTTGACTACGCCATGAATAATCATGTGAATGTATAAGAAGAAAAAATGAAGTTTTTAGGTCCTTCAATATCTAAAAAAATGACATTAGTTTTACCTGGGTTTATGAATTGTAAAAATTTATAAAAATGTTATCGCAAAAAGGCAGTATATCTTTAATGTGCATAATGGTAATTCTTTTAAACACTACAAATGGAGTATTTTCCAAAAGTAATCATGCAGTACAAGACAAGAATAAGTTATTGTTTATTTTGCTTATAAGATATGATGAAGCATAGATGTGTCAACATATCATATTAAAGTGTCGCACAAAACGTACTTGTATTTGATATGAAGATAAGTTTATAACTTAAAATCATTTAATACTATTATTCATCTGTTATATTAAAGAACTGCTTCTTTACACCAGATCGCATAACATTTCTTTGTTTTTAGTCAATTCTAAATAAAAGTCAAAACGGCACTGTTAATGGCCAGTATTAGTTCGTTTATAATGAAACAATTTAAGCTGATAAGCCTATCAATAATTAATTGATAAGTCTGTTCATGATATACCTAAAACTTCTCGTTTGAATAAACAATGATATGTTATTAACCAATAGGACTTTTTTCAACTTTAGATAGCTTAAGTAACACTGCAAAGAATACAAAAAATATGAACCTTTCTATTTAGAAAATAATGAAAGTTGTGTATTATCTAAAACAAATTATTTCATTTAGAATAAATATTTTTTGTTTGGAGAATACGTGCACTGTTATCATGTTCACATGTTGTTAAATTGATCCGCGATCTCTATTTTGTTTAATTAATAGTAATAAGATGTTTTTTCTCTTTTATGTTCTATTCTAAAACAAGTTTCATTTAATATTTCCTAGGGGAATCACGTCTTATGCTGCAGACACTCCTGAAAGGCGGCTTTAATTTTATATAAACACTACATTCAAAAGGCGGAGTTTGCGTTTTTTTGCCTTTTGAATTGCTGTATGCATTAAAGATGCACAATGGTTAAAATCATTTCAACACAAATAAATTATGAAATTTACCTGTCCAAAACGCAGTTTGTGATATATATATATATATATATATATATATATATATATATATATATATATATATATATATATATATATATATATATATATGTGTGTGTATTGTATATATCTTTATCAGTACACGGATATAATAATTGATGAAAGTGAAACGTCTTGTCGTGTTTCTAAGGATAATTCATTAGTCAGAAGTCTTTAAATGTATTTCGCAATACGCGTTTTGTCAGAAACAGTCCAAATTAGTTTGCTATTTAAACATGCGATGTTAACTTAGCATACACATTTTGTTTGTTTTGAGTTGTATTAAAAAGAACAGACAATGCAATATTTCAATGATGTAAATGGTTGAAACAACAGTAAATTAATGTGATGTTGTTTTTTTTTCGTGTTTCCAGGTTTCCACAACAGTTATTTTATACAAATTGCTGAAAGCATGCTTAGGCGACGCGCATTAATACTGATTTCCCTTCAATATATTGATTCACCCTTTGCATTGTTAACACGATTAGCGATAATCTAATCGTGTGAGTTCCTATGCAATGTCTTATGTCGCAATTACTTTAATTATTTTTAGTGAAAGCAAACTCGTCTAAAAGAAATTCTCTGTTGACAATGTTTGGCCTTAAACATAAAACATTTGTAGAGTAGGAAGACATTCAATTTGTGTGAAATAATTTAGATTTGGGTTTAGTGGTTTGTTTTATGAATACTATTTCATTGACACTGTATCCAGATAATTACATTGCACGTTTTCTTTTAAATGATAGTATTTCAACATTTGAAATGAGCTTGCGTAATGCTCCTGAATGTTTGGGACGGGTCTGATACCATGTGATATTATATGACAATGAAATGATATATAGTAATGTTTTTCATATTTTGAATGTCTTGTGCTTTGAATTGCTTACCTATCTAAAATATTCTAAATTTAACGGATTTACCATTTAAACCTTTTTACAACACGAATGCTAAAGGGATAACGCTTAAAATCCCAAATTATTAAAAAAATTATAGTATAACTTCAAGATGACCGAAGATAAAATATATATCAAGACGTGCGACCGTTTCAGGATTGGTTAATAATGATGTATTACGCTACGGGTGACAAATCAATAACAAAATTAAGACTAGAACTAGCAGAATGAGGTATATTAGGAATTATTTCCCGGTATACATATAGAATAGAACTATTGATCTGAACATTATACGATTACAAGCCGGAAACAATTATATGATCAACATAACACAAAATATGATTTCAATACATCGGAATGGTTATATGTTATAAACATCTATTACTGTTCAATTATAGCATGAGTTTGAATTGGAGTAATTTCTGGTATTTGATGGGTAAAATATGCTTGTGTGCCTTCGCTTCAATTTATGATAAATAGTTTGCTTGATTTTGTTTCCAATCATATACAGTTAAATATCAGTAAACCATAGCAATTGTACAATACTGGAAAATTTCGAACAGTTGTCTTAATTCTTTCCCTTTTAATGCACATTTCTAATGTTGTGTATTGAACAAGTTACTTGTGTTTTCATTGTCATATTTTAAGTCGGAATAAAACAGTCAACTTTTATGATACCGATATTTGACCTGCTTTCTTATTATTGCTTGAAACATAACATTACTTATTTGTATATTATAGTTAATTTGTATCCAATGAAATTACTACATTTTATTTAAAATAATGTAGTTGGCTAATGTTAAAAAAAACGAAAACATAACAAGAACTTTTCAGTCAATAAAAGATGATTTATCAACTTTAGCTCACAATTCAATAAAATACTTAATCAGATTTTAGAATATTTTGTATCTTAAGAATAATCCTCCGATTTATATCAGAAAAGACAATCGATTAAACCATAAAATGTTAACTTTTCAAGTTAGAAACAGTTATTACAATATTACAGAGGCAATGGTTGTCTTGAAAATATAGCAGTATAATGAATTCAACATTTGATCACAATTATAATAGTTGCTTTATTTTTCAAGTTTATCTGTTAATGAAAAAGCATGTGCGTCATTTAATTTTCAAAAACAAATAGTCAAAATTGCATTGAACGACATATCATGTCACATAATCAAATTTTGAATTTTTTTTTTGTTTTATAGGAAAAAATGATATAGCTATAAAATAATTCAGCGGAACTTTTCGTAACTAGACATTGATGTTAACAAAGAATGCAGAATTGTGTACCAATTTTGTACCAATTTTATCATATGCAAATGTGCGCTTCAGAGATGATATGATTGATTTATGTCTGATGGTAAGGTATTCAGGACTGTAAGAAAAACATATAGTTCTTAATCATTACCAAAAATTATGAATTTAAATGATACGTGTATTCGTAAATGTACAAATATATGCAGCAATACATTTAACACTGTGAACAGACAATCTGCATGCAAAATGATATGCAAATAGTAATCTATGCAACTGATTGATAAGACAAGTATTGATTATTTCTATTTCAAAAAGGTTGACCTACAGTTTCAGTTTGGGATGTTTGTCCTAGAGAAGTTTTAGAATAACACCACTGTTATTTTAATGACTTCCCTTAGATTTTCCCTTTTCCTGCCTGTTGTTTCATCGACATTTACATATTGCTATCTAAAAGTGTTTTTTCCAAAACACATCATTAGTTTTTACGAGATACAATAATTACATTTATTTTCTATCAATATTAGTAATACAATATTAATCATGCAAAATATTATGTCTAGAATTAATCAAATATCATCATAAGACTGCAATAAAGATGTAGTGATATGAGATTTTAATAATAAATAACCTCAGTGTACTCGTTATATTACCTAATAAAGAAGTGACTTATGTAGTCGAGAAAATATAAATACCAATACTTTTATCAAATATGTGTGGGAAGAAACATTTACCACGCTTAAAATTATATATAATAAGCATTATCCGTGTTAATGTGATAATGCAGTTTATCTAGACAATTCTTTCATTATAAGGGAGATAAGTCGTAAGGTCTTATTACACGCAGCTCAGATTATGTGTCCCCTTTAGTTGAAAGGTCGCAGTTAATGCTAGCGCTTACGTCATCAGTCGTCTACGTCATCTATTCCGGACTTTAGTTGAAAGGTCACAGTTAATTAATGCTAGCGCTTACGTCATCAGTCGTCTACGTCATATATTCCGGAGCACATGGTCCAGTCTCTTTTTTATGTGAATCGAAGTTGAATTGTATCCAAAAAGGAGGAATATTTACCAAACAACAGCTTTATCAGATAAGTTAATTTGTCACAATTATTAAATAGTTGAATTTCATGTACAAAAGTGATATTTGATTTATAATATCCGGATAAATATAGTATAGTTAATAAATTATAATCATACCACGAGGTGTGGCCGTGGGAGACGGTGACATCGGATAGACCAGTAACTGTATAAAGTAAAACAAAGTTCTACTCTTTATATCAGTGAATTTATCATTAAACACTGTTTTCACTATTAAATTATATTTCCTAGGATGCCTAAGGCAAAGGCGAAATCTAACAGACAGGGAAACCCCGTTTCGTTTCCACGCCATTCCTCAAGGTCATTGGCAAGAGGTCAATCGGCGCGGCCAAGAAAACAAGCTTGCAAAGCAACACCAACAGCTGAACAAAATGTGGCTGTCAATGTGGAAGCACATGTTCCTACCGATACTGAGCATGGTGATGGCAATTTACCCACAGGCTGTCAGGTAGCTGGCAACCCCGCATCACGTGATTGGGTTTCCAATGGTTTCTCAAAGGCTGTCTCCTTCTGAAACCTCCAATATCCAAGGTGAGTGTGACCCTATTTTGGTAATACCTACTCATGACCTGGATATTCATATTTCAGATGCGTTACAGGAAAAAATATGGAATAATCAGTATGTCGATCTTGCACAATTGTTGCACAAAAATTTCCATATGCCCAGTTCACAAGATGACATGCAAATTTCTTTCATAAATAATAAGTTTGTATTGAAATCTAATAAAAAACTAAAACAAATTGATAATATTGATTCTTGGACTGATGCTTTTGTAAACTTCATTTTAGTTTACATTAAAAAACACCCATTAAGAGCAGCGGAACTTTTGAAATACATGGCAATTGTTCGAGGTGCTTCCGCATCTAATAAATTCCAGAAGTGTTACCAATATGATATTCAATTTCGCCTTCGCATGTCTATTAACTCTAGTCGTCTGTGGTCCAATATTGATGGTCATTTGTGGCTTACATGCGGATTGCTAGGCGATAACCCTTCCACTAGTGACGAGGTAAACAGAAATGCCTCTGCAGGTGCTTGTTATGATTACAATTTCAAAGGCGGATGTTATAAGATGTTTTGTCAGTATAGACACACCTGTATTGTATGCAAATTACCTCATCCATCCAATACTTGTGTAAACGCTCAGAAGTCGATGAGATTTAATAGCAGTGCGTCAGGGGCACAATTTGTTCCTCGACCGCGCTTTGTTCCGCTTGGCAGCACAAATGTGCCGCCTAGCGGAACAAATAATGTGTTTCAAACCCGGCATGTAAATACATTCCAAAGGCCTAGGGGTTTTAGACCAATTTCCCCGTCATATTCTCAGTCTGCCTTTCGACCCCAATTTATGGGCCAAAGGTAAAACGCCAATAATAATGGATAAAATTTCACCATTTCTCGAAAAATATACAAACGCAAATGATGCAAAATTTCTAATTCACGGTTTTCAGCATGGTTTCCCTCTTGGTTATGCAGGTCCAAGAATTTATAGGGACAGCAAAAATTTAAAGTCAGTCATTGATAATATTGACATTGCAAAACAAAAAAATTATGACGAGATAGATGCTGGGCGTATGTCGGGCCCCTACGCCACAAGACCTATATCAAATCTTAGATGTTCCCCGATCGGGCTAGTTCCAAAGAAATCCGGCGGATTTAGGTTAATTAGACACATGTCACATCCCGCAAGCGATAGTGTTAATGATTATATTGACCCAATGTTAACATCTGTCAAATATTCGGATTTTGATAATGCTGTAAAAATGACAAAAAGGCTAGGTAAAGGTGCATTAATGGGAAAAATGGATTTGAAAAATGCTTTCAGAATTTTACCATGCTATCCTGGAGATTTTGACCTGTTAGGAATCATGCTGGATGGTCAATATTATATTGACAAATGCATGCCAATGGGCTGTTCTATTAGCTGTTCTACTTTCGAAAAATTTTCATCTTTTCTAAATTGGGAAATCAAACGCCGAAGTGGTTACAATGATATAGATCATTATCTTGATGATTTTATTTTCATGTCTGTTGCAAATTCTGATATATGTAAATTGAGCATGTTACAGTTCGAAGCAATGTGTACTGAATTTGGTGTACCAATCGCTTGTGATAAAACTGTCGACCCCGTGACATGCTTACTTTACCTTGGTTTAGAGCTTGATTCAATTTCAATGGAAATACGCGTACCTAGGGACAAAGTTATAAATTTATTACATCAAATTAATGATGCATTGTTATTACGAAAAATAACGTTGCAACAATTACAATCATTGACTGGTTCATTGGCCTTTTGCGCAAAAGCAATGCCCTCAACACGTGCATTTATCCGCCGGCTTTACTCAGCTATGTCGCAAGCAAAAAAGCCGTACCACAAAATCCGCTTGTCAAATGGTCTAAAAAGCGATTTAAATATGTGGAAAACTTTCTTGACTAATTATAATGGCACTTCGGTAATGTTAGACACTGAATGGAAATCGAATTCAGATATACAGTTGTTTACTGACAGCGCAGGGCAGTCAAATTTGGGCTGTGGTATTTATTTTAATGGTCGTTGGGCTTTTATGCAATGGCCTCAACCATGGAAAGATACAGATATTCTTAAAGATATTACCTTTTTGGAAATAATACCAATAGCATTGGCTTGTTTTTTATGGTCCGAACATTTTCGATCTATGCGTATTCAGTTTAGCTGCGACAATATGGCAGTAGTACATATACTTAATTCAAAATCTTCGAAATATAATAGAGTAATGGCACTTGTTAGACAAATAGTGTTATGGTCTCTGAAATTTGATTTCCAATTAAATGCTGTACATATCAGTGGTGTCAACAATAAAATTGTTGATTCAATTTCACGAATGCAGTGGAAGACGTTCCGAATGTTAGCACCGGAAGCGGAAGTTCACCCAACACCAATCCCGAGGGACTTCATGACGTACTTGCCGATGAAATAGCAGTTCTACTAAATTCCTCGGTTTCGGAAAAAACGAAACAAATTTATAACCAAGCTATAAATGCATTCAAGAACTTTCGCTGTTTGCATGAACTACCGGATGTGTGGCCCCCGCCGGTGGATCATATGGTTAATTTTATACGTTATCTCTCACTCAAAAAGTTCGCATTTGCTACAGTTAACTCCTATTTATCCGGCATTTCGTTTTTCTTAAAGATGAATGATATGCCGGATAATACACAATCATTTATAGTAAAAAAGATGTTATGTGGAATGCGACGCATCCGATCAAAAAAGGATTTGCGTGTTCCAATAACGCTACGGGTGCTTCTTCGCTTCCCAATGGCTTTACAGAAAGTTGCATATTCAAACTATGAATCAATATTGTACATAACGGCCTTTGTTTGTGCATTTTTTGGTTTTCTGCGGGTAGGCGAAATAGCCGTTGACACAAAGAAATCAGACACCAATAGAGTCGTTCAGTTAGGAGACCTTAGATTTTCGGAAAACGAATGTTTTTTAACAATAAGATTTTCCAAAACCGATCAGTTTGGGTCGTCGGTAACACTGACATTTTGTATATCACATTACCCTGAGATATGTCCCTTATAGACTACTTCGCCTTTACATTACTTTACGCCCTCAAATAGACGGTCCTCTATTTTGCCATTTCAGTGGGCAACCGATGACTAAATATCAGTTCCGTTTCATGCTTCGCAAATGTTTAAATTTCCTCAACATTGACTCAAATATAAAAAGCCATTCATTTTCGTATTGGCGCGGCTACCACAGCTTCTCAATTAAATATCTCTGACGATATTATAATGCAAATGGGTAGGTGGTCTTCGAAATCCAGGGCTTATAAGAGATACATTAGGTTAGATAAGATAATTCCATAAAAAATTTTATTTTTAGATAACGTTGGCCAGCCTTGTCAAAATATTTGGATCGTAGGTCTTCAGTCATTAAGAGAGCAGAGGCACATGCTAAAACGAGGCCGATGGGACGTCACCTTGGTCTTCAGCGACGCCGGTGTTACTGTATTTTGGGCTGGCCATCCGGGCTTACATTATAGGCAACTTTACAATATTATTTACTCAATGTCTTTTTGTTTGCCACCACCAAGTTTTATTGTTTTACACTTTTGGTGGCAATGATATAGGTCTAGAACCATGTGGTGTTTTAAGACACCATTTTAAAGAAGTTATTTCTCAGATAATGAGAATTTTGCCTAGGGCCTGTATTGTTTGGTCCTCTATATTACTCGTTTTGTCTGGAGGTACTCCGAAAATAATAAAGCTATGGATGGAAATCGGAAAAGAATAAATAGAGCATTGATATATTTTCTAGCCCAGCTTGGTCATAAGTGTATAAAACATCCAGATTTTCAAGATAAAATGCCAGCATTATTTTCTGATGATGGTGTACATTTGTCTTATATTGGAAATGATATATTTTTAAACACAATTCAAGGTGCTATTGAAACATTTTTGACTAATAATGCAAACGTATATCCAATTGACTGAATAACTAAAAGCCTGACAGCGGCGAAAAATTAAATTTGGCGTGAGCACTGCGTACTCATTGGCAGAATTTTTCGACGCAGTGTTTTATTAACTAAAGATTATTCAATTTAAGTTAAAGAAAGATATAAAACATTGTGTTAAATACTGTTTGTGATTGAACCCCAACAGTTAGATCTAGCAGTAATCATTAATTCGGCGATTGGTCATTCAATCTGCCATTGGACTTGTTGTGTACGAGTCGAACTTGAAATTGATTTGTTGATTTATGTATGATGAACTGAATGATAAACAATGACTTGTGAATGAAAAACAGTGATAAATGATGGTTTAATAATGATTATACAATCAATAACAAAGTGGCTTGGTCTATTCCCCAGCACTATTATTTTCCTTTGCATGTTTCAATTTTTTCATGAATTCGATATCGTCGACTGTCAGGCAATTATTCCACTAATAAATTTAAATGATAATGTTTTTTTGTTTTGATTTATTAGAATTTGTCATTGATAATAAGCATTATCCGTGTTAATGTGATAATGCAGTTTATCTAGACAATTCTTTCATTATAAGGGAGATAAGTCGTAAGGTCTTATTACACGCAAAGCTCAGATTATGTCTCCCCTTTAGTTGAAAGGTCGCAGTTAATGCTAGCGCTTACGTCATCAGTCGTCTACGTCATCTATTCCGGACTTTAGTTGAAAGGTCACAGTTAATTAATGCTAGCGCTTACGTCATCAGTCGTCTACGTCATATATTCCGGAGCACATGGTCCAGTCTCTTTTTTTATGTGAATCGAAGTTGAACCCGCCCACCCTACCCATAGTTATCAAATAGAAAATTAAGAATTTATACAATGTATACTATATATCTGTTTCTGCTCTTGTTTTCTTTATATTTGCAGTTACTTGTGAGTGGCACCTTACGACCAACAAATGAAATAGTTTGCTAACTCCAATTCGTCGACAGTCGACATTAGAAAATTGAGGATTGTCCATGGCAGTATTTTTCGACGCAGTGTTTTATTAACTAAAAATAATTCAATTTAAGTTAAAGAAAGATATAAAACATTGTGTTAAATACTGTTTGTGATTGAACCCCAACAGTTAGATCTAGCAGTAATCATTAATTCGGCGATTGGTCATTCAATCTGCCATTGGACTTGTTGTGTACGAGTCGAACTTGAAATTGATTTGTTGATTTATGTATGATGAACTGAATGATAAACAATGACTTGTGAATGAAAAACAGTGATAAATGATGGTTTAATAATGATTATACAATCAATAACAAAGTGGCTTGGTCTATTCCCCAGCACTATTATTTTCCTTTGCATGTTTCAATTTTTTTCATGAATTCGATATCGTCGACTGTCAGGCAATTATTCCACTAATAAATTTTAATGATAATGTAATTTTGTTTTGATTTATTAGAATTTGTCATTGATAATTGGACTTATCCATCTTTTCACTAGTACATCTTTTGATCTCAGCTGGAGAAAACCATCATTTTCTTAAAAAGGACTGACCGAATATTGAACAGTACAGCCTATATTATGATGGCACGGATGTGCCGGCATAATTTGGTCTATAGTATTACACTTGTCGTAGAGTTGGCCCCTAGTAGGATTGAGACATTTTTGTTTTAGCATCGTAACAAACAATTTATTATATTGATTGTTAAAATTGAACATTATTTTAATTTTATGATTTGGGGTTGGTAATAGGCTTTCAATATAATAAGATTTATGATCAACTTATGTTATATTTCTAAGCGGCGAAACGATTAGAGAAATGTGCATTCATACATCAAATAAAAGTTATATATTATTGACCACATGATATATCAAAGAAATTATCATTCTTATTAAGTCAACAATAAATGACCATCAAGCTTTTTTTAACTACTGCATACGTATTATTAGTAATAAAAACTTACAAATAATTATGTGCATATGAGGTATGTAGATAATGCCATATCTGAGAGGATATATATATTTTGGAGTCCTTGTATTGAACACAATTCGGTCATTTCATAGATGCGATAGTGCTTTATGCTTTAAACTTATAATGTTTTTAACATCAGATAAATAAACAGCAAAAAAAAATAGAAATTTAAGCTTCACACATACAGAAAACGATATACAACACGGACAAGTGTTCCAAGCTAATTCACAATTATTTATCAAGCTTAGGGTGACAAATCAATAAGTGTGTAAAGGAAAATGAACCAAAGTATCTTAGTGATAATAGTTAATTCATTTTTATCCTATAAGCATATATGACAAGGAGCTATTGATTTGGGCATTAAATGATAACACGTCCGAAACAATTATATAAACAACGTAACTAATTGATGGTTATGATACAGACGTATTGTAAAATGTAATAATTATAATGATTTATCATTCAGTCATTGAAATGAACGTGTAATCTGGTGTCGCAGTACTCATAGATTTTTTACCTTACTTCAAGATTAACACTTTGATTGATATTGATTATTTTGCACTCGTGATATAAATACATGTATACCAAAGTCTCATAATTGACCATAACATGTAATTAGGTGGCATCCTCTTTGACCTCAATTGTAACACAAAAAGCGTCTAAATGTTATTGTTTTAGTGAAATATAAGAGCGTATGACAACGATTCATCATAAACGGACAAATCTGGTATCTTATTAACAAATGTATGGCTATGGTTTAATATTTTAGGAATAAATAACAAATGATATTGCATAAACATCTGTGCAATCTGTTCAGGTTCTAAGTCTTTGTTTAATGGGTTGTAATAAAGAAATTACCAATGAAATAGTCAAATAAATTTTTTTTATGGTCATCACGCTTTTGATGCAAAAGATATAGCAGGTCCTGTTTGATTGAGCTTGTTTCTACTGAATGGCAGGTTAAAATTGAAGCTACCATTCCTGCCTTTAACACTAGCTTTATACTAAATGAATATTCTGGTAACATATATCAAAGTATTCACATTAGATATTTTGTTGCTAGAACACCTCATGATAAGACTTGTCTAATAAATTTTGCAAGTTAGTAAGTACCTATAATTGTTGAAAAATAATACTCAACATTTTATACGTAATAATTTATGAATGTGTAAAATAATGAAGCATTTTTTATTAAGTTTGTACAACGTATGAACGAGAGATCATGTATATGGAATTTGTTAATGATTTAATGAACTTTTGGTATACAAAAAGATAAATATTTTATCAAGTACAAGAATGATATATTTATAGGAATTAGCTTCTTATCTATTTAACTGCAAATAGCTATTGATTTAAGAATTTCTTAGTATTGAATCGGTAACAATTCTTAAAACAATGTTAATATGATGTTAATAAAATAGTATATGTGTCTTTATATACTTATCTGAAATAAAAATACCCTTAAGAAATGTATCCGTTCTCGAGTCGAGTACACGGCATTTGATATCAATCAAAGTATCTTGATGTCAAACCGCCGCAGCATATCATAATATTGTATGTACTTAAACTACAATAGGTAGAATATAATGCTTTAAATGCTTAACGAATTATAATCCCTTCTTGCACTAATTTTGAAGTAAAAAGTTGTTTTGCATTTTTCCTTAAGTATTTAGACAATCTTTGATTTGTATGTTGTAAGCTATTTTTCAATATATCCTGTATATTCTTAACTAACACAAAATAGCCTTTCATTATAGACACTTGTGAATTATAGCATAAATACATGATTCTGATTATATTGCATTTGTTCCCTGAAACTCAGACTTGGGTTTTGTTCCGACCATCCTCATAACAATACAGTCACCTAATAATAAAATATCTATTTTGCCATTAAGCTTATTAAAGTACATACTACTTAATGATATATTCTTAACGCACAGTTTCGAAACCATTTGATTGTTTTAAGGTTTTGTCCTAATTATATAGTATATTTACTTTTCCTTAATCAAGTATCAACTTATTGTAAACTAGTCGACCTGAACAAGAATACAAAAAAATAAAACGAAAAGCATGACACTTTCTAATTTCTAGGATATCAGCTTTGAATATTTATATAAAAAAATAAATTAGCAGCATGCTGTCATCAGCATGAAAGGTTCAGCGAATAGAAGCACAGGTATATGAGACGTGATTGAGGTTATTGTTTGTTGTTGCCACTTTATCGACCGTCTTGCAAACTGTGATTTTGAATTTACGGTTACAATTTTGTTTAAAAAAAATGCTAGTAGTTGGATATAATGAATGTGGAACGAATGTCTTTAGAGTATGATGTGTACATGTATGATAACAAATGGATTTGATAATAAGTTGCTGCAGAACAGTGCATTTAATGTAAAATTTAGCACTAGAACAGTACATTTAACAACAGAAAGGTAACCTAAAACAATTTTGTGCAATTTTGAAATTGATTGTTGGATATAGTCGGACAAAAGTGCAATATTTATATCGGTGTTTTTTACATTCAGACTCGTCCTACTATGTAGCCAGCTCAATGTTTTTATAGTTTTATCAGACAAAGAGCATTATTTATTTGCTTAAACAGGCTGTGACATTCATAATTTATAAGTATTGAAGAGAAGTACTTTAAATGTTTGTACTGATATGCAAATATAGTAAACAATATTTCTTGACATAAAATATATTCTTTATTGTTAGTAATAGATTTAAATGGGAAAATATTACACATATGAGTAAAATTTACACAGTTTGTTTACTATTAAGAGTCATTTGAAATTATATTTTGTATATGATTTGCAAAATCCGTTTCTATATAGTCATATCATGCAATTATCACCATTAATATACCTGAAATATACATGTAATTAAAAGCGAAAAATTGTCATTCGTACAATCTTATATATATTTATTCCATTAAACGCATTATATATTTTATGTCTATGTCTATTCACACACAATATAATTTTTCTCTATTTTCGTTTCCTTATTGCTCGAACATGTTTCATGTCGTAGTTTTTCCTGCTTCTCTTTATGATATACAAATCATTGTTGTGTAGCCTTTACCAGATATATATAAATTAACAACAAAAACAACAATTTTATGTTCTCATTTCATGTGAAACGTCCATATGCAAAATGATTGATAGCTGCTGATGGAATAATCTTTTTATAAAGTATCAACAGCACTGCAGTTTAATTAAAATTGATTGCATGCTGAATGTCTGGTTTTCAATTTAATACAGAGTAATATTTCAGTACCATACAAAATAAATGCTTTAGACTGTAATGAACTCTGCATAATGAGGATTGTTTTCTAGTGAATTTATCTGCTGTAACACATGATATCTATTCGAATGGGAACTTTAAATTATTAATGTTAAAATTTACATTTTAAAGTTGTGACTAAGTATAGAGATGGTATGTTATCAATTTTGTTAAAAGTATCTGGTAAAAGGGGAGGTCCCTTGATAGCATTGAGGACTAGAACATATTTGCGAAAATCGCAGGCAATAAAACACATATTTAAATGACCCTGTTTCTTTGACTCGTACGTTTTATGTCTTGAAAATATATTTGTGGGTTAAACGCCCTTCTTATTATATCCCCATTGACCTATGTTTTTATTCCAGCTTCTGATTGGCTCACTTATATTTATTCTGATTGGATTATCGTGCAATTAAAAATCCCATTTTGATGGTTTTTTTTAATCAAGAAAGGATCTTAGATATCTTTGAACACAAAACAATGAGAACTGTGCCTTTATACAACTTCTAAATCCATGTTTCTAATGCTTCTGTATTAAATTTCAAGTTTGGCCTACATTATTGGGAAATGTGGAAGTTGTTAAGATTAATCGTGATTTAGAACGGAAAATAAATTTCAAATTGCGTTTCATTTACAGCAATTTTCGATACCATTCATCCTCATTTGATTCAATTAATGCTAAATAATTGACAACAATTTCCAGCAGATATGTTATCCGATGGAGATAATTTTGCGGTTTTTACTATTTTCTTCTGACATTCATTTCAGTTCAAAACAATTTTGTTCAACTACATTTTTGTTTCAGGAGAATTCTTGAAAAAAAATACAAGAAATTAATTATCTGATGAAATATTATTTGCTTACATAAACGTTGGTCTTTACTGTCGATATTTAATTTTGCTTTTAACGTTTCATTAACAATTCATTGAGTATTATAGTATTTATGCATTATTATAAATGTCAATATAAATGTTTGAAAAGAAAAAAGTATCATTTAAGTGGAACAAGATTTTCCTAATTGTCAAGTTCATGCAAGTATTAATTTGTTTAATCAAAAGTGAACACAGCTATCCTTAATATACCTTAGTTCACATTATTTATTAAAGTTTACTTTACATGGACATTAATGGTCGAGGCACTTGAATAATTGATCGTGCGTCTAACATTAAAACAAGTCATCA